CTCTGTGGCATCCCAACAATTACTCCATTTACACACAGAAGAAGGCAATGGCAAACCCCTTCTGGATCATCTGCCAAGAACGTATATGAACAGGTCCCAGTCCGAGAAAAGGATGGAAGGATCCTGTTCATATGGACCTGTCGTCAGACAGAACACTAAATAAATAATAATAATAATTAACGGACGTATCCTGTAGTTCACGCTTTCCACGACCGCCATGGGGACTTCGCCACTGTCCGTCCGAGCAAAGTTTCCAGTTTCTGAAGGTCTGGTTAGTTTGTGTCTGAGTCCATTCATGGAAATACAGAAACAATTCAAAGATTATGAGCTCGGTTACCCTCAAAGTTTCAGCCATTACCTGTCTCTGCCCTCATTAACTTCAAACGAATGACATCGATTATTATTCCCCCAAAAAATGTGACTCCCTTTCATTCCTAACGCATGTTGTGTTCGCCGTTGTTTCTGTTGAGGTTATGTTAGAGTGTGCACATGCAGATAGTGACGTACTCTGTTTACCAATCTGCAGTAAACGTAAATAATTGTAGCCAGCCTCTTTGTTAGACAAGGATTTTTGTACAACACGCACTCCAATTTGCTCATCTTTTGTCCGACGTAAAATATCGCGTTACGTGCTTGATTTCACTTCCCCCCCCCGGGTGTCTGTCTCCTTCTGCCATACTACGACAACACGTGTGTTATGAACTACCTTTGACATCTATTTATTTCATTCGCGTTTTTTGTTTAGCGATGGTGTCGCCACTCCGTGTGCGTTCTGTGAACTTGCACCACCTAACGTGACAGGGTGGGAGGAGTGTGGAAATCAAAAAGCTACTCGTTGTCTTGGCAACGGTTGTCCCGCCAATACATAGACGGAGGATCGGCGAGCCTCTAGCGAACGAAATGACACGCAAAGTATTTGTCGAATCTTGAATTGCAATTCTTGTGTTCCCATCTGGAGGTTAAGGCGGCCGGGGCGTGAAGGTTTTAATCTAATGCCACTTTGCAGGTGTGAATCAAATTTACGCAATGTGAATTCTTATTGGGGCATATATTAGGCACATTTTAGACCAGACAAACTTTTTTGTTCGCGTACCCCCCAGATATAATTTCTCTTCATCTTTGTACCCCCAAAGTTGTTGGTGTATAATTCAAGGTATACATAGTATATAATCTACATCTGAAATCGGACTGGGACCTGTTCATATACGTTCTTGGCAGATGATCCAGAATTGGTTTGCCATTGCCTTCTTCTGTGTGTGAATGGAGTAATTGTTGGGATGCCACGGAGGAAAACTCCGTGTTGCCTAGACCACGGCCTTGCCCAACACAAGTTATAAATTCGGGCACCGCCGGGAATCGAATCCGAGACCCCCAGGATTACAAGGCCAGCGTTCTAACCGCTAGACCACCGTGGCGGTTGAAGTTTGTATATAATGGTTTTATTTCGCAAATTCCAAGCCAATAGATTGTCCATGGTGCAGAGCTGTTCATAGCAAGTACAGAATTGTTGCCTGAGATATTTATTAACCCAGTTTTCCCTCATAAGAGTCGATTTACTTATGGTATGACATCAGTTTGTCTCCCACCTTCCCCGCGGATTCAAATCTTCTTAGACGACAAAAGTGTTTTTTTTAAATCTGTGCCGTAAGTTGTAGCTTCACAAAAACATCGCCCACGAGGTCCTCCTTGCATCTTTGTCCTGCAGCGTAATTGTGAGTTGAGGAAGTGGTATATGGCACACCCCCCAGTGATCCTCCCTCTTGGACGAGTAGCAGAATCTGAACATCTGGACGTGGTTCTGCGCAGTGGAGACTCGGTTACTCAGCGGTATTGTGCGAAGACCCCACGAAGCTCCGAGCGAGCTGCCTAGAATAGCAACAGAACAGAGGGGCCCCGAAGATCTCGAAACAACGGAACTTCCTCCTGGCTTGTTCTGGGATACGTTTTTTCAACACTTGACACAAGTCTGTATTCATTCGCCCTGATGATGGAAGCAGTAAGGACCTCCGAAACGTAGGTAAACTTCTACCAGACTGCACGGCGGTAGAAAGCCCAGAAGACAGCCGTCTCTACTTGATATGTAAAGTGAGTGATTCGAAAACGTGCTCGGTCACTACCAAACGCCACAAAGCTGTTTCCTTGTCGGGCTGGACGACCTGAATTTGATTTCCGGCAAGGCTGGGACTTGCTTCAGGGTCTGACCAAACGAGTATTGGGCTTTTTCCCAGGAGTAAATCGGGCAGAGCATAAAGCTGACCAGGGTAAAGTGGTTGCCTAACTCCCTTCCATCCTTTTCTCGGACTGGGACCTGTTCATATACGTTCTTGGCAGATGATCCAGAGGTGGTTTGCCATTGCCTTCTTCTGTGTGTGAATGGAGTAATTGTTGGGATGCCACGGAGGAAAACTCCGTGTTGCCTAGACCACGGCCTTGCCCAACACAAGTTATAAATTCGGGCACCGCCTGGAATCGAACCCGAGACCCCAGGACTACAAGGCCAGCGTTCTAACCGCTAGACCACCGTGGCTATGAATGCTACCACAACGACTTAAAACTGACATCCAAATCCTGGAAAATTTCGTCTTCAGTTTCTGTATAGATGATGGTTTATAAAAATTGGGCATAGTTTTTCTTCAGTCCTCGAATTGCCACGATATTAATGGTACCAACCACAGAAAAACCTTGACCTGATTTCTAATATGATATTTCTCTTTTTTTACTTGTGTTCAGAAAGCTATAAATATTGCTAAAATAAAAAATATGATTTGTAATATAAAATGTTCACGCTTCTGTGACGTGTTTTACAATCCGTACGCCAAATACGCTGTGGATGACTGGCTTGAAGTCTGTTTTGGCATCAGAATGGATAAAAATTTTAAATAAACGAAGATACCAGCTTGATATCTTCGAAGATACATCCAGTCGCACTGCTACAGATTTAAGAAACTTCAAACTTTGTTTTGGTGCGTAGAAGATTTCTTTTCCCCAATTCTATTTTCTCTGAACTACAGGCAATTGGCGGATTGATATTTATACTTAGGCAAGTGAAAGGAATGTTCCTATACGAGCTCCATGATGTACGAACTAATATTAGCTTAGTAACGAATAAGCATTGTTTTTAAAATATAATAAACATATAAATATTATTTTAATCGGGTTAACGTTTGTCAAATTATACCGAGGTCACATTGTGAGTTATATCTGTGGTTGTTCTAACAGGCCAATAGACGAGGTTACAAGACACGAAGTTAAATTCTTGGTCGTCGTTGTCGTGATTTGAAAACTGACAGGAATGTGTGGACATTTATCGTGTTCTTTCGTGTATTAATCCACTTTCAGAAAGGTTCGGAAACAGTTATACAGCAACAATACACAGTACGGGGTGGTGGTGGTGGTATGTTGATCGTGACGTCATAGCTACGCAAGGCAGTGTTGTGAAACGCGTACAAGAACGAGCTCTCTGTCTGTGTGCAGCGCACATAAAGCAAGGCTTCGCTTGCTAGCTACCAGGCGCGTGGGTATCAGCACGGAACGTACATTGTTGCCAAGCGTTGCGCGTCCAACTTCGCGACCGCTGCGAAAATTATCACCACGTTTCTCGTACAGCTAACAGATTTCAACGCAGTTTCAGCGTCAGAAATGTTTTCTACAGAGTCGTAAGAATGACAACAGAGAGTCGTATGAGGATTATACAGATTAATATTGTAAAAATGAGTTACGTGTATTAGTGTCGATTGTTGAAGGGGAAAGGGGGGGGGTAGAGAGTTCTCGAAGGAATGAGCGAAGAGTATAGGCAACACCGCTCGGTTAGAAACAGGTTCGAAAGAGGCCACAGCCAGGACTGCCTCGAGGCGCAGAGGTTCCGCAGGCCAACAACAGACACAAGGACAGAAGGAACGAATCGGAGAAGGTACTGCCCGCTTTCTGCTGGAAAGGTTTTTTCTGTTGACCACATTTTTACCCCAGCATTCGGAGCAGCACAGTCACCCCTCAACAGCCAGCCGTGTACGTACCCTAGGCAGGCCGAGTCGACCCTTCATGCATCCCCCCCCGACCCGATCCCCACTTCGCTCGACACAAATGGAAAAGAAGCACAGAGCGTGGTTTGGGTTTATACTGGGGGGAGATTGAGTCGAGTCGAACGCACAGGGAAGGGTACAACAAGAGACATAGGGGATAAAATTAGAGGGTAGGAAAAGAGGAAACTTTCCTAACAGAGGCTGTGAACCCCCCCTCATACTCTCCGTTTGGATTGGACAGACTGCGGACGGGGTGATTGTTGCAGATTTAGGAGCGCTTCGCTTGATTGTTGATTTCAAGTTTTCGAAAAAAAATTATCCATATTTATATGTTCGTGTTTGTTGGGACCATCGCGAACAAGTCTTTATTACACACGCACATAACCTCAATAATGAAAATGAATAAAATCTTTTGGGGGGAGGGGGGGGCAATCAGCCGCGCCAACTGATTACCGTAGTAAACCGACGTTTCGGGAACTCCGTCCCCAACATCAGGGTTCTGATGTGAGTGGATTTTATTCGCAGCGAAAGTCTAATATCATAAATAATTAAAATGTTACTAAAATTTTGTAAAAAAAAAAACTCAGTGTAGAAACTAGTCTGCCTTTGTGATGATGGTAATGGGGTGGAAAATAAAATAAAATGTGTCTGAAGTGGCCACAGGAGGCGAGAGGGTACAAGGTGTTCTGGTCGACATAACAGGTGGTCCAAGTCTTTACTGCGCAGGTCCCGGTATAACTTTATAGAATAAATGATACTGGTACTAAAACCATTATTCGGCAATATTAATTCGTGTTCAGGTTTTTGATGAGCTGTGAACCGTAAGAATATTGTAAGATCTCAGCATTTTCCGAGCTGAACGAGAGTAAAAGACTTAGTGTCACAAGAAATACGTATTAAAACTCGCTAATTAAAAAAAAAAATGTGGTCCCATAACGGCTTAGTAACCAACATCGGCTCTGAAATCGTCCTGGCGTCGATAAATTCTATTCTCATCGCCCTGATGATGGAATCAGCAATGACCTCCGAAACGTCGGTAAACTTCTACCAGACGTGATCGCCATTTTGTATTTCTGTATGCAACAGAACTGGAAGGAGAGGACAAAATTGACGTCATCGGTACCGGGAAATACAGACGCGCATAACTTAAGTTAAAATAAATTAAATCCAAATTTAATCCAAAAAATTTCGTAAGGATTCACTACCGGATTCTTGTCATCTTGTATGTTGACATTCTTTGCTGTCAGTGTCATTTTATTAATGACTGATACGGAGAACGGAACTGTCTAAAAACTTATTTCTACGTCGCAGCGTCGAGACCAGCTCTGGGGCCCACTCAGCCTCGTGGATGTTTCCCTCAAACATGCGCGCCAAAGGTGCGCCGCGAACGTATTATGACCGCAGTTCCATAGTCTGCCACCAGAGGAGACTAGTGAGTGCCGTGTTGTCGTTTCACCTGCGTCGCTCCCATAGCAACGGGGCCTGGCAATCGACATTTCGACGGTTCTCTCGTTTTTGTAGCGAAAACCTCGACACTCGCTGAAGAGGATGTTAGAAACTTGCGCGCTGGCATTAAGTCTGGCCAACGGAAGGTAAATGTTTTTAAAATTCGAGTAAAAGTTATGGATATGCCGCGCTGTGGAAGGACAACAGAATTATTGGGTACGTGGTGATGAGGGGAAAATCTAGATGCCCCATCGGAGAAGTCTTGTGTTCTCCCCGTATATTCAGGGGTTGTCAACCCGTGGGCCGCGCACATTTTGTATAATACAATGAAAAATAAATAGTTCGCAGAATCAAGATTTGGGATGCGATTTATTGATGAATGAATACAAATCACAACAGAAGTTAAGCCTGATATTTAGATAAAAGTAGTTCACAATTTATTAGACCTAATTCAGTAGCCATGACGTTCCAATAAACTGTCCTGTTGTTTAGACCAGTGGTATTCGACCTTTTTTGTTCGCGTACCCCCAGATATAATTTCTCTTCAACTTTGTACCCCCAAAGTTGTTGGTGTATAATTCAAGTTATACATAGTATATAATCTACATCTAAAATAAATTAAATAAATTACATTACTGATTATTCAGTGTTTATCATAAAATAATATATATTTTTTTTAAATTTCACGTACCCCCTAAGATGTCTTCGCGTACCCCCGGGGATACGCGTACCCCAGGTTGAATACCACTGGTACAGACCATACCTATGCGCTGTGCTCGACGAACTGCTTAGGAAGGGCATTGGAGCAGGTGGTTGTGGCCTATTTTAAAGTACTGCCCGGGCATCTACGTACAGAAAGTCAGGAAAACCATGCTGGTATTCCTCGGCTGCCTTGTAGGCATTGCTGTGATTGGCTGTGCACCCGGAAGACAGTAAAATCAGGGCGGCCCGGAATAATTACGTCACAGTGACGAAGACATGATTTGCGGGAAGGTTTTTCTAAACATTCAGGATATTTATTTGTACACGTCTCCGTGTTCATCAGCAGGTCCGACCTATTTCTTTGCCGGTCTGTATTGCGGCTGGGCTCCCTGTTTCGACACGGATGATGACGTGGTCAGTGCCTTCAGCAGCGACGGGGAATCGCTCGGACACGGCACAAATATCTCGTTGCCAAGCTAATCGCACTAATCTTTAAAGATTTAAAGATAAATAAACTTGTGTTTCGTCAAGTATTTCTATCGAAATATATTTTACGAAGTCCTGAAGTTGACGATGTGACGTATAAATTGAATCTAAGTTAATTTCGAGTATTTTCATGGAGGAAATATGCAGACAGATAAATCATTAACCCTCTGAATGTTCATTTTCGGATACGGGAGGTCCTGGGTTCAAAATATTGGTCTCCGGAGACCGTAGTTGTATATTCTGAGCTACTGACCACAGAAATAAATGAACGTAAGCGTAATTCTTAACTTCTACTACGCTGAAATAATGTCATGTCGTCATACTGGCTGGTGCAGTGAGAAAGATTTCACAGCGCTCGACGGTCGAGCGAGTCGACCGAGCTCGAAAACCTCTTGGCTGGTTTCTCGACGACCAGCCACATGCATCCGACCACTGGCCTACTTTGCAGGTGTGCCTCGGTGCCCCCCTCGGTTGGACTGTGTTGCTTTGCCACATCAAGGGAACAAGAACATTTTCTAGCCGTGCCCTTCCCGACGACCAGAATAGAAATTAATAAATAATTAATTAAGGACACTTCGGTGAGGAGGAACACTGCGTATTGCAAGAAAATACGTTGTGTTATTTTCGTGTTATAACTACAGTAGGACCCCCCCGTTAAAACGCCATTTTCCCAAATATGTTTTCGCGTTACTTCTTGGGCGAATTTTTATTTATAAATGAAATTTCCACGCGGTGAGCGAAATAATTTTATTAGGATCTTGAACTTAACATCTGTAATGATAATACCACAGTAATTTTTATACTACTAGAGCAGAGCGCTCCTTTCGGAGCTCCTCGGGGGGGTTAGTCAAGATTTTAAAACGCAACCAACCCCCCGAATGGGGGGTTAAAACACTTGACCAACCCCCCTTTGGGGGGGGTTGCTTTTTAAAATTTTGAGTAAGAAACTAAACCAACCCCCCCGAATGGG